GGCTCGCGGTAGCGCCTAAGTTGCCGCGCTGTTCCCACCAGGGTGCTCAGGTGCAAGGGGCACCCGCGTGCATCGAAGGCCAATACGGCGGTCATCATGCCGCGCGCCTTGATGCGCCATATATTATCTTTGACACTCATGACGGTGTTGCTTTGGTTGGTTTCGGACGCATCTGGAATGCTGCAACCAGTCCTGGATGAAAAGGCTGTTATTATTGCAGTTATGAGATATTGGTGCCCCCGAGTGGAAATCGACAAGGAGCAGATGTGCTGCATCAAGCACACAGGGAAGGAGTATGGTTTTACGCTCAATTGGGCGAGAGTGGAAGCACTGCGCAAGCGATGCCACGTTCGCATTACTACATTTGTAAATTGGGAGGCGCCTCAAACACTAGTTTTCTGGTCGGCTAGCAATATCTCATAGCTTCCTGCCAGATGCTCCGCGTCGATAGCAAGGACTTTCGGCCCGCTTCCTCACACAAACTTGATCCAACATCGTGTGCTCGGTACGAATCTGACCAGAAAATTACAGGCATCCAACAAAGTTACAGTACGGCCGCACTTCCCCCAAGTAGACGTTAAGTCCAAGCAATAATTTTGTTTTTTCGTCTGCTTTCTTTTTCAGCTTTTTTGTTTCCCCTCAGTGAATGCAAGGATTTCATGGAGCTGTTTGGCTGGAAGGTTCACATGGCTGGCCATTTCGCAAGGGGACAAAAACCAAGAAGCTTTCAAAAAGGGTTTGGGATAGACGCACGCATGGGCTGCGCGCCAAATGAACAGGCAGCTCCCCAAGTGAACGCAGGGATTCGGCAGCATTTCATCGAGAAAATCCAGCTGAACAAGTTAGGCGGGCACGTTGCAGCCGGGCGAAGTGCAAAAGCTGTTAATAAACATGTTTGGGACATACGCACGCATAGGCTCCGCCCTAAGTGCGCGAGGATCATCTAGTGAATGCATCACTGCAAGTAGCTCAGATTCACAGGGAACTCCCCAAATGAACGCCAGGATCTCCTAACATGTCATTGGCAAATTATTGTTGACTGGACAGGGTGAATGGTTGGGCATTTAACTAGCGGGCTAAGGGCAAGAAACTATAGAAAATTGAGACGTTACGCACGCATGGGCTCCGCGCTAAGTGAAACGCAATCATCGAGTGAAGGAATTCGTCATTGCAAGCAGCTCAAATATATAGGCAAGGATATCATTTCATTTGTGATTTGACAAAGTCTCTAGAGAAACAACTAGAATCTAGACTTTTCGTGGGGCTGGCAGCTTCAAGGAGCCGCGACAACAAAAGCATCAACGCCGAGCTGCAATGACAACGCCAAGTAGATGCAGCTTACATGCATCCACAGGCCAGAAGCAAGCGCAGCAAGGCCACAAAGCCAGCGCATACCCACGCTTGGTTGTCACACCCAACCCAACACATGATAAAAAGCAACAGCACTGCCATGTAGCTACAGCAAAACTCCCTATTCGTGCAACTTTGCTGCAGCTAGCCTCGACATTCGCAAGAGCATTCGAAACAGCCAAACGCAATGTAGACACAGTGTCCAGCAGTGCCTGACAGGAGCCTGCTTGGCGAGCACACGCAGGAAGAGCCGCGCGCCGCACAAGATAACAGCACGTGAAGCCGCAAGCAGACGTATGGTTTTGACGTAATGGCACGATGCGACGCCCAAAACATAAGGCAACGAGAAGGCAACTTGCAAAACACATTCAAGGCATGGAAACCATCACTTTTCTCATCCTTCAAACATGACGCGTTTCTTGGATTTTTGCTGATCCATTTCACCAAACCCCCTTCATTTTCTCAAAATGACTGAACACAGCACGTTCCTTTGCTTTTTGCAAAACGCCACGACCTGACTGGCACGATTAAGCAGTGATTTCTCCAAAGCCGACAATGCGCCACGACTTTCACCAATCCCCGTAATGCAATTGAACCGCTGGCAAAGAAATGTAGTCGAATTATCCCGGGCCCCTAACTTCCATAGCAGCCAATCAGCAAAACGCCACAGCTGCGCCGTGCCCAGCTCTGCACAGCTACGAACCCACCGCAATGCAGAGGCCCGGCGCGCCCGCAAGGGTGTTGCAAGAGACGTTGGGCATCTTCATTCCACGCCCAAGGATATCTCAGCCGTAACCTCAAAGACGGGGACGACCATCACACGTGGAACGCTGAATTGTGCAAACGAGCTAGCTACAGTAGCCATATGAGACGGTCAAACCTCCGTATGAGCACACCTGCTAACGGACGCTAGATTTGCAGTGTTGCTTTTCAATGAAAAGTCTTGTGCTCAACCTGCGAGTGTGTGAATTTGGGAGAGTCGCTTTTCAATGTTTCCATGGCTTTATAGGGATTTGCCTTCCCGTGGCCACTACTGACATAGCTACTGTACTCACAACCGAGTATTGACTGTGACTCGTCACATACATAGATGCGTGGAAGCGCAGATTGTCGCGTGAGAATCTGGCAGCGGCCGTCAAAAGGGGGCAGTTTTGCGGCTTCAGAAAAAACGATGTCATTGCGCGTGGCCGCACATGATGACTGCATGTGCCCATGTGTCTCACACGAAGATACCTGACGTGAGCATAACCTGGGAAGCGAAAAGAAACTGCACCTGAGACGAGATGAGGACTGGATGGCAATGATATTCGGAGAGTTGCGCAAAAATCAGACCCTTGTGATGATTTTGCTAACATAAGGTAAATGCTCCATGCGTCTTTACTCAGTCATGAATTTGGTGTGCAACACATGTCTTCTTAATTTTTTGAGATTTGTCCGCGCAAATGCGTTTTGCCAATCCTATTGTACATGAACGGGCAGCAGCATACGAAAGCAATAAGTAATTATGTGCAGACCATTACAAGTTTTGTTCTGGTTCCTCGCGCACCTCACGACTCATCGGCTGATCAATCAGTATCACCACCGTCGAATCGGGAACGCAGGGTAGATCCATCGAGAAGAGCACGCACCCTGGTCTGGTCCCATAAGATTTTTCGACTCTTCGAACGAGGCCAAGTTTGGCGAAATCTTCCATAGCTGGGTGGGCGGTGTTGGGCCCTGCTTTCCAAACATGCCAAGCTCCAGGGTCGCTCTAGGTTCTGAGGAAACTTTGCCTGCAGTCTTGCAGGGCCTGGTAACACTTCTCATGAGCTTCCAGACCGCATGGAATAGCATAGGATTTGTCAATATGTGCTGTTTTTTGTGTTTTGTTAAAGAAGTCGCGGAATAATGCGGAATGAACAGGGAGAATCACATGGATGGTGGGGTAGGGGTGTGGGGGGGCGGGGCAGGGGGGTTCCCTTTCTCCAGCGGTGAAGCGGAATTGTGTTGGATGCGTGGGGCTCGTTGGAAGCATGCAAATTGATACTGCTTTCGACCATGACTTGTGAAGTATCTAGGGAAGTTCACATGGGGGGGGGTCGCGCTTGGTGGGGTGGGCGCGGGCAGTGGGGTGTGGGGTCATTGGCATGCAAGGGGTTTTCCATGTTTTCCCTTTGTGTGAGTGGGGCGGGTTACCTTCGAAGGGCTTGAAGGGCTTTGAGTGCTTTGCCCGACCCAAAACAAATTCGACCATTTGTAGAATCTGTAATCCGTGCCATGGGATTGGCCAGTTGAATGGCCAACATGTTCCTCATTTGCGTCAAGTTGCGCAATTCTGGCAGTATTCGTACATTCGCTTGTCAGCAAGGTTTGCTCCGCCATGTTACGCCGCTGTATGATGCGTCACTTCCTGTCGTGCGGGCATTCAAATGTTTGCGAGCGTGTACGTGGCGCTCCGTCTCCTTCGCGTGCCAACGATCTGGGTACCGGAATTGGTCGCAGACATTCGCAAACATGATGATCAGCAGGTGACCAATTACTTACTTACTTGGATAATCAGCCAAATCCTCCGAAGCTACGTGCATGGATCGTTGGTTTGAAGAAAAAGCTGGGAATCCATGTGTATGACACCCGTTATACGTTGCAGCGGGTTACGATTCCGATGGTGCCACGTAGAAGTCGCTTGAGACACCTTGCAAGTACGCACGTATGTTTTGAGGACAGAATGCGCGATCTCGGGTCGTTTGTGTTTGACTTTAGAAAATTGACCAGCTACAGTAACAATTTACCTGAGGCCATCAGCAGGAGTCTCCAGGAGAGGCTGGAGGCGAGTTTCTGAATCGTATGGATTCAACCCGTTCGACTCTTGCTGATACCACTAGCGCTCGTCCTGCTGACAAGATCTTTCGTGCCCTTCTTCGTGAGCAAGTGCATCTCTTCGACTGCCTTCATCATCTTGATAGGACCAGGGGAGCATGTTGGAGGACTCACTTGAACCGCAGAATACCATCAACACAACCATTACCGGCCAAAGACTCAAACAGTTTTGGGTGCGATCTAGCCGCCGCACAAACAATCCTTCAGCATCCAACATGTATTGCACCAAATTGAAGCGGTTTGCATGCACCACACACTTCACTAGACCTGGTTCAGCTTTCTTTCCTTTTGGCAGGTAAGGCAGGAATTCCTGTACCAGTTTAGGGTTTGAAGGAGCTTTTGGCATCGGTTCAGGGTTCTCGCTAGATGCTAGATGGTTAGAAAATTCTTGCAAGCCGAGCTTTAGAAACTTTAGCGCATCCTTTTTTGACAAAGCGTCGCACAAGTCCGCACAATGCCATTCACGACACACGTCCCGCAGTGGCGCGAATGGGCAACCACACCCTACCTGAAATCTTCAAGGCGCGTGCAACCTGAGCAGTTTGTAAGGACGAGTCAGAACTGGCGATGTCTTGCATGAGGCTTATGACCACTCATTTCCTTCATAATAAGCTGCAGCCACGCATGGAGTTTGTCTGATTTGCCGCTCAGGCAAACTTTACACAGTTCTACCTAAGTTGGTGCTAGGAATGGAGCAGAATGATCAGAAAGTCGATCGCGAGTTGGACAACGGGCATGTCGTAATGCAAATGTGTGATGGACCTACTGTACCCGGAGTGCTTCTGCAAACTACACTAACTTCGGTTGCGCAAATTCAGTGAAACAGCCATCAGGCCACTCCAGCAACATCCTCGCCATTCAGCAAACAGAGGGCCACTGCTGCAAAGTCTGCCGCGCCTCCATCCTGAATCTGCCGCGCGCCGTCGCTTTGGGCCGCGCGTGAACCTTCTTTGGCTCACGCATTGGGCATCCAGATCCTTCCGAAGGACATCCTGAGGCCCCCACACCGCCAAGCAGTGACAATCTGCATGAGTCGAAGCTTCTGACAACTTCGAACGGCCTGATAACGTACTGAACTCGTGCCAAGTGAAGTTTCAACACAACCTGATCATGCAGGTGCTACAGGTAATTAGCCCGCAAAATCAACAATTTGACCAAACCGGTTGGGGTCCTGACTTGCTCCCGATGCTGCACAATGCCTCACGTTGCTGTAAGCCGTGGCTATTGACAGGTCCGCCAAGTAACGCATTCTTGACTTGCACTGGCTGGCACAGGCATTCTCGATGCTATATATTGTATTCTTCAAGTTTGTCAATCTCTCAACCTCCCCCCAAACACGCACACGTGAGGCCACTCGGCCGCGAAAAATTGGCAAGCCATGCAGAGTTTAGGGCCCCAGAATGCATGTTCTTTGCAGTAGGGGTTTGCCCACATCCTTTTGCGGGAGCTTCCTGTGCCAGGTACAGGATTCTAAGCAGCTGTCTGCGATGTTTGCCGTAGGTGGGCAAATTGTCTTGGACATCGCCGCACTACCTGATGCCCTCTTGGGATAAACACCTAATGTTAAGAAGTGCGAGCGCATGGAAATGTCTTGAACCCAGGAATTATAGAAATAACGAAAAACAGAGAAAATATGGGAAAACGTAGGGTTCCAAAATAGGAAAAAATTAGGAAAATGGCAAAAACTATTCTGTTTGAATTTCGAGCAATAAGAAAAATAGATAAGCATTAAGAACAAATTAGGAAATAGGAAAACTTTGGAAAAGCAGTAAAAGTAGTAAACGAAAGAAACTACTGGAAATCTTGTTTTTCCAGATTTTTCATGGAAAACATATGATTTTCAGTAGTTTTTCCTATTGTTTTACTATTTCCTATTTCTGACTATTTGTCTCCAAAAAATACGAGCAAAAGAAAATAGTAAAACATTAAGAAAATTGAGAAAACTAGGAAAAATAGGAAACATATGAAACATTAGGAAATGAAAGGAAAACATGGAAATCCTAGGTGTTTTCAAATTTTACATGAAAAACCTAGGATTTTCAGTAGGTTCCTAAGTTTTCCCTATTGTTTTCCCAATTTTTCTTATGTTTTAACGAACCTGAAAAAATTGAAAAAATTGAAAAATATGATGTTCAGTGATTTCCAATTTTCTGCAACTTGTTACTATTTTTTCCTATGGTTTTCCTACTTTTCCAATTTTCCTGTTTTTGCGTATGTGTTTTCAAGGACCCTAATCTATGTTTTCCAATTTTTGCCTACTTTCAAATTTCTAACATACTCTTGCCTTTCCAATGCTCGCACTTATTAAACCTAATGGTCAAACGACCGGATGGGGGATGGATTTCGGGTGGAACGCTGGAAGTCCAAACAACGGAAGCCTCTTTCGGGTATCACGAAAGGCTGGCACCACACAGCTCCACGTTTCTTTTAACCGAAGCAAAACAGCTGAATGGATTGCAATGGCTGCACGGAAGTCACGGAAGTGCTGCTTGCATGCTTTCGAAATTTCAAGGCAAAAGGGGCCCCTTGAGCCATTTTGCAAAGGTGCAAGTAGCATAAACAACCTATATATACATATATAGACATGAACCGCACGACGCATGAACTCATTGCCAAACCAACATCACAAACTCACAATGATTGTTGCAGTAACGCACCTCACCAAACCTGGCATGTCAGCTTCCATGCGAACGGAAGGAACTTCAGCGCCTTTTGCTGAGGCGTTTGGTTTAAATGGTCCCGGCTTGGTTTGGCGCTGTGTTTTGTCAATGGGCTGATGGGCCATAGCATCTTGTGTGCGGAATGTTTTTGCCTGCTTGATTGATCGACCTGGCGATGGTGATTCCAGCTGTTTGCTACAGACTGTACACTATTTTTGAATCGCAACGTCTTTGTATTTTGTTTCTTTGTTCGAAAAAATTAAGGGCACAGAGCGCAACGAGGGTCCCGGCAGTGTCCTTGCATCTAGCCCTTTCCGCATGGGCACAGGGCACCAAGCAGTAGTTTCTAAATAGCAGTTTAGCCAATATTTCCAACCAAAACCCAAGGGCACACAGTGATTTACACATACCCAAATGATCGCCTGATGAGTTTTCTTACAGGGTTGTTATCAACCAAACCGCGGGGGCACACAACGATACACAGCTACCCAAATGACCGCGACAATTCTCTTTTGCTGGCTGTTGACAGCTGAAGCCCAATGACACACAGCGATACGCATGCACAAATGATAGCCTGACTTGGTTTTGAATGTGACATCTTCGGAAAATCCATACAAACACCAGGTCAAAGCTTTGGATTTGAGCGGACACCCTAGGAAAACCAATCAATACCATAAAACCACCTCCTTAGCCCTCAAATGACCCGTAAATCCCTTTTGAAACCCTTACCACTCCTTTAGTCGTCTTCAAAGCCCTCTTTACACCAGTTCAAACCCCTTTAAACTCTTTAAGCCCCGGCTTGGGGATTCGGAGGATTTCAGCTGGAGGCGAGCGATGCCCCGAGCGCTGCCCCTAACTCCCATCGGTCACATTGATCCCTTTCCGGTCTGTCTTCGGATTTGGGCTGAGGTCTTAAACTTTTCAGACTTGATGGCAACTGAGTTATGCAGTACCTCCGGGTGGTTGGGGAAGCATGGTCTGCGCGGTTGCGTGAGATCCCTTCGGGTTTACGGTTGAGGGAGGGGTTACATATCGGCTATTCAACGGACATAAAAAGGTTGCATAAGTATTACAGAACTTGAATTTACAGGGATCCCCAGGGGGCACACCGCAATGGAGTAATTTTCAACAACAACAACAACAACGACGACGACAACAACGACAACGATGACAACGAGGAAAACGACGACAACAACGACAACGACCACAACGACAACAACGCCAACAACGACAACAACCACAACCACAACCACAACAACAATAACAACAACAACAACATCATGGCAGAAAGATCCACGATATCGTTGCATGCGTGCGTAACCTTCCGTAGGCCAGGTTCGGAGTGGATGTTGTGCCGCGCGTAGTCTGCTTCTGTAAACTGCAGGGCTTCTATGCTGATGGTTCTCAGCATGAAAGCACAAATTTAAAATCGCAGTGCCGCGGGGGGGGGGCGGGGGAGGGGACATGCCGTACAATGCCCCGCGGTGCGGCAAATCAATTTCAGGGGAAATTCAACATTTTATGGTCCAAGCTTTGAACCTCATTCTCGCTTCTACATCAGAACCGTAATCTTGACACCCTTGGACACCAGACGCCATAATCCTTAAATCCTATGAGGAGGTGCCTCGTGGCCAATGTAAGTCAGATGACGCGTCCTTCGGGTGCACATAGGGAGGGGAACCCACCAGTCGAGTCACGAAAGCGAGTGGAGGGCTGGGGGTGAGGTTATTGTGGGGGTTTAAGGTTTAAGCCTTAGGGCTTCGGGTCTCTTCAATGGGTGTGGCCCCTTCAATGGATAGAGCTTGTGGTTCAGCGGGTGTTAGCCAATACGTAATTTTACTGTGGGGGGTTCTTCAAGCCTTGGGCTGAACTTAAAGTGGGGGCTGTTCTAAATTCCTTTTCCCGAAA